TTCTTGGGAATGAGAGCAATAAAATATGCGTTCAAAGATTTCTCAAATGTGCCATAAGAATAAAAATCCTGAAAGGTGCCCATCATCTCAGCTCGCACCACCTCCCAACTCTCCTTAAGAAACCGCATAGTAAACCCATCTGGCCCTGGAGCTTTGTCCCCGTTACAACTAGAAAGTGCCTTAAGCACTTCCTCCTCCATGAATGGAATCTCAATCCTATCACTATCCAACGCAGAAATAGAATTAAATGGAAGACCATCAAGAGTAGGTCTCCAATCCAAAGTCTCAGTGTAGAGCTGCTGATAAAAAGAAGCGATTCCCCTGCGCACCTCGTCATCCGGGCTTAACATTGAGTATGACCAGATTCGTATTCAGGTGCTTGGTAGGGATCCCTTCCCATCTTTGAGGCAAGCTTATTCATATGTCTAGCAGGAGGAGAGTATTAGGAGTGCCATGATTCGCAGTATCACTCAAGATCATTCTGCTTTAGCTTCTATCCCTCAAAAAGACCAGCGGTCGCGACAGCCTGGTGTCGATGGCAAGAGTGGGGGTTCTAAGAAGGACCTACTGAAGTGTGACTTTTGTGGTAAGACAAGACACACTGCAGATCATTGTTGGAAACTTCATCGACGTCCCACTAGAGGTCGAGGTGGAGGACAGTCTGGCTCAGCAAGGTCACATGCTCATTTGTAGAGAATGTCTAAGCCAAACAATGGGGACTATGCCCTCTCACTGCATATAAATTGCAGACACTTTGAGGGTTGATGGCTCGCTTCAGTGCTTCATCTGCCTCAACTTTTGCTATAGTCTCATCTTCTTCTAACTTTGCTCACACAGGTATATCTGCAAGTGCTTATAGTGTCTTTCCACCTTCTCAACCATGGGTCATTAATTTTGGAGCCTCTGATCATATTACAGGTTCTTCTAATCTTTTCTCCTCTAATTCAACTTGTTCTGGTAAGGATAATGTAGAGTTGCAAATGACTCTTTGTCATCTATTTCTGGAAAGGTGCTTGTCAAATGTTCCCCGTCCATGTCACTTTCTTCAGCATTACATGTTCCAACTTTTGCCAACAATTTGCTATCTGTAAGTCAAATCACTAAGTCTCTAAACTGTTGTGTGACCTTTTTCCCTACTCATTGTGTGTTTCAGGAATTGGGGACGGGGAGAACGATTGGCACTAGTAAGGCACATAGTGGTCCATATCTGCTGGAGCCTTTTTCTGGTGATAACCCGTCTTCTCTTTTGGCTCTTCATGCTGATAATTCTCACACACTTCAGCAGATACATCAGTGGCATAGGCGTTTGGGTCATCCTTCTATTGGTGTATTATAAAAACTTTTTCCTGATTTGGTTAAGCAGTGTAATAAAGAGAGTTTTATTTGTGATGCGTGTGAGTTTGCAAAACATCAAAGGAATTCTTATCCTATTAGTAATAATAGAAGCACTGCTCCTTTTATGATTGTTCATTATGATGTATGGGACCATCCAGGGTTGTTTCGCTTTCTGGCTATCGATGATTTGTTACTTTTATTAACCGTTTTTCTAGAGTTACTTGGGTATACTTATTACGTTGTAAAAGTGATGTGGTCACATGTTTTCAGACATTTCACAAGATGATATGTACTCAGTTTGATGCTAAAATTAAGATTCTTAGAACTGACAATGGGACGGATTATACTGAAGGTGCCTTTCAAACATATCTAGCTGACCATGGAATTGTTAATCAAACTAGTTGTGTTAATACTCCAGCACAGAATGGCATGGCCAAACGGAATAATCGCCATCTTCTTGAAGTAGCTCGCTCTTTACCATTCAGTATGGGTGTTTCTAAGACCTTCTGGGGTGATGTTGTTCTCACTGGCACACCTCATTAATCAGATGCGCCTTTGAGAGCTCTTGACTTTATGGTTCCTATTGAGTTGCTTCAAGGCCATGGAAACATCCACTCAATTCCTCCCCGAGTTTTCGGAAGTGTGTGTTTTGTTCATGATCACCAACGTTCCAGAGGGAAACTTGATCCCAAGGCACTAAAATGTGTGTTCAAGCCCAAGCTCAGGAGGAATCCAGAAAACAAGTGGAAGATTCCACCATTCATAATAAGGGGGAGCAGGGTGAAGAACAAGCTGATTATAGGAGATTAGATAAGAAGAGGGCAAAGGTATTCTTGTTGGCCTAGATGTTAGATGGAGCAGATTCCCACTCATGCACCTCCACCACACCAGTTGCCTCCAACTCTAATTTCAGAACCCAATGTACCTCCTCTCCCATCACGTGATAAGTCCTCTCTTATTCCTACTGTTGATAATAATGACCTTCCAATTGCTATAAGAAAGGGAATCAGGAGTTGTACTCAACATCATATTTTTAATTTTGTTTCCTATAATTCTTTATCTCCTTCCTTTCGTGCATTTGTTTCCTCTTTGTCTTCTATAACTATTCCTCAGAGTTGGAAAGAAGCTCTTGCAGATCCCAAGTGGAAAGAAGCAATGGTATAAGAAATGAGAGCTTTAGGGAAGAATGGGACATGGGAGCTTGTTCCACTTCCAAATGACAAAAAAATTTGTTGGATACAAGTGGGTTTTTACTATGAAGCAGAAAGCAAATGGAACTATAGAGAGATATACAAGGCGCGTCTGGTTGCTAAGGGTTCACCCAAACATATGGCATCGATTATCGAGAGACATTTGCACCAGTAGCTAAGATGAACTCCATCCGAATGCTTTTGTCATGTGCAGCCAATTTAGGGTGGAGCCTTCAGCAATTAGATGTAAAGAATGCATTCCTTCATGGAGATCTCGAGAAAGAAGTCTACATGGAGGTTCCACCAGGATTCTCTTCTATGACTACTGAAGGAGAGGTATGCAAATTAAAGAAGGCACTTTATGGCTTGAAGCAATCTCCGAGAGCCTGGTTTGACCAATTTTATAAGGCATGCCAAGGGCAAGATCACTATTCTTATTGTAGATGTAGATGACATTGTGGTAACAGGAGATGATTTTGAGGAGGTGTCCAAGTTAAAAGCTCACTTAGCCCAGGAATTTGAGATCAAAGATTTGGGGAATTTATGATATTTTCTTGGGATAGAGGTTGCAAGATCTGATAAAGGCATCTTTATATCTCAAAGGAAATATATTCTTGATCTTTTAGAAGAGACAGGCATGTTAGGTTGTAAACCGGCAGACTCTCCTATTGAGATGAATCATCGTCTTCAGAGTGGTGATGGCAAACAAGTGGACAATATAAGATATTAGAGATTGGTTGGGAAACTTATATATTTATCTCACACTCGTCCAGACATAGCATATGCAGTGGGTGTTACTAGCCAATTTATGCATGACCCTCGCACCACTCATTTAGAGATTGTGTATCGCATTCTGAGATATTTGAAGTCTGTGCCTGGAAAAGGGATCTTATTCTCTAGTCATGCACATTTGAAATTGGAAGCTTTCACAGATGCAGATTGGGCAGGCTCAATTGATGATAGACAGTCCACCACATGTTATTGCAACTTTATTGGTGGAAATTTGGTTACTTGGTGGAGCGAAAAAACAATTTGTAGTGGCTAGGTCAAGTGCAAAAGCAAAATACAGGGCTATGGCTCATGGGGTCTGTGCACTCATGTGGATTCAGACCTTGATGAGCGAATTGAGTGTTATGGATGATGGTCCTATAAGACTTTATTGTGACAATAAAGCGGCCATTAGCATTACACATAACCCGGTTCAACATGACAGAACGAAGCATATTGAGATTGACAGGCATTTCATCAAGGAGAAGTTGAATCATGGAATGATCTGTATGCCTTTCATGAAGTCAGAAGAACAACTAGCTGGTGTTTTCACCAAGGGTGTGAGTTCTAATTCATTTCATTCTATTGTAGGCAGTTAGGCATGAGAAATATCTATGCACCAACTTGATGGGGAGTGTTGGAATATGTGGTAATATTCTTGTAATAAGCATAATCAGTGGGATTGACAAGAATATTTAGTAAGCATAATCAGCGGGATTGACAAGAATATTTAGTAACCATAATCAATGGGATTGCCCAGAATATTTAGTAAGCATAATCAGTGGGATTTTACCACAATTATTGTAATTCAAATCCCACAATTATTGTAATTAAATTTCCTGAAGAATATAAATATATGGGTGTAGAGATGTCAGAATTAACTTTCTACAACCCTTTCTTACATTTTACTCTGACTTCTCTCTTTCTCTTATCTTTCCTCTCTAAACCCTAATCATCCAAAACCTTATAATTCAACTAAATCCAATTGGGCTAACACTCCACCAGTTGGCCTATTAACACCGACGCCCACGTAACCATTAAAGGCCTTCTCCCCATTACGTAACCATCCCTTTTGAAAACTATAACGCATGCCAGCTGCCCCCAACTTGTTATTAAGGCCCCTCACATATGCAACGTGTGTCACCACACCTGGCCTATTCTCCTCATGCTCCCCTCGCGTGTGGAAACTATAACGCATGCCAGCTGCCCCAACTTGTTATTAACGCCCCTCACATATGCAACGTGTGTCACCACACCTGGCCTATTCTCCTCATGCTCCCCTCGTGTGTGGATCTCACTCCTTCATCAGCCTTCAGCCTGAGGCCTGGTCCACAGTGGCAGCATCTCTCTAGGCCTGTATTCCATTTGGGATTATTTTTTCATCCTAAACCTGTGGAATGTAATCTTGCCACTGACTCAGCACAGAACTGTTTCACACTAAGTTACAAACAAACAGATTTTAAATCCTAAAGTGTCAAATGATGTTTACAGTTAATTATTTCCACATCAATATAACCAAAAAATTTAAGAGTATCAATTGCTAAGAACTGGCAAATTCCTAGTTTTATTTATTTACGAATGCAGAAACATTATCACAAGCAATGAACATACCCAATCACATAACAAAGTCAATTTTATATGTAGTTGATACTTTCCTAGTCCGTCCATTATTAATATTGTCTAAAGACAATGTAGGCCAATGGTTACCTGTTGAATATAATAAGAGAGTATTGTGCTATCACCCACAACACATTGCAAGTTTGAAGAACCCAAAGACACCATACTCTCGCATATATATTCCGCAAACTCAAATTCACTTTCATCAATAACACCAGCACCCGAGCTAGTTCTACAGAGGAAATCTCTAGAGAATTTCATCAAGATCTGAAATATATTACTCATTGCAGAATCAAATTCAGAAGCAGATTCATCAACAGGTCGCTTCCTGCAAAACACAGATTACAGATACCCAATTATTTGTGAGAATGTTTTTTCACCAGAGGAAAAAAAAAAAAATAGAACTTAGAATTTCCACATAATGATACATAAATCACTGAAAAATACTCTGCATTGCATACCTTGGGGAAACAAGTTTGAAAAACTCACATGCATGAAGACAAAAGTCGGGAGAAGAAAGTAAGAAACCACACCTGTTGTGTGTGCGTGAAAGAGAAAAGAATAAACACTCCATAGTCCATACCAGAAAATTTTAAATTAGACTGTGAAACTGCAAAGGATATCATACCCATGAACAATTCCATATTTTGAAAGATCGGGTAAGGGAGCCCACTCAGCATATGCATTAATAGCATTTAAAGCAGCTGTTACCGTGGCCGCATGCTGCTTTGCAACATCCAGCTGTTGCCTTCCTGCTTCACTCACTGCAGCTCCAAAGTGCCTCTCTAGTAACTTATCACAAATAAAGGCATCAGAAAATGCTTAAAACAATCATATTATACCGAATTCCAGAACCAAGACGTACAGTGTACAATAACGGCAAAATTTCAGGCAATGATTGGGTAAGCCCACGTAACAATAGTCTACGCCGATCACCTGAATGAAACAAACAAGTGGCAAGAAGCAACACAAAAATTAAGATATAAATGAATTATTGTACTTGTCCGGTTTCTAACATTTAAACCAAACAGATTAGTTAAAAAGTTTTTCTTTAAGGGGCAAAAAAGTTAAAAGGGCAGGCCAAAAAGATAGAAAGTTTCTAAGTTCTGAATGTTTAGATTTAAGGGCATATCCTTTTTTCTTCCTAGTTGATACTCACACACCCCCACTCCAAGAAATTATTTGCTCTCAAGAGGAGTCGAACCTTAGACCTGATGCTTCATTAGGCACCAGGGCCAAGTGACCTACCCACTTGAGCCAACCCCTTGGGGTTAATTTAAGGGCAAATAGTTGTCCGTGAAAGAGGCAAAAAATAAAAAAAACACGTATGTAGAGATTGGAGTTTAGTTTATTTAAATTTACATCTCAAAAAAAATTAAAGACCTATTAACATCAGAAAGATGTACTAATGTCTACCAGTCAAATACCTTCTAAATCTTCATTATGAACTGTAATGTCTTCAGGAAGCCACCTTAGCATCATAGCAACCAACTCAGCCTAAAATGAATAACAAATCAACTTCATTATCTCATGCAAATTTTAAGAGAATGCAAGCAAAAGTTCAATAGCATATGGACAAAGACAATATTTACTTGTATAGGACCATTATTGCAAAGGGAAACTAGAGACGGAAAAAGCTCCTGCCAAAGAGTTATGCCTTCTCTCCTCACAATCTATAACAAGGTAAAACAAATAAGTACTACATCTGCAAAACGAGCCACAGGGAATTTGAAATTAAAAAAAAAAAGTGAAAAGTGAATATAGAAAACCTCAGCAACAAGAGCAGCAGTCTGACTTTTCAAAGCCCATTCTTCACAAGGGTTTGCCACTTCAGAGATCAAGTCAACAGCAACATTTGCAAAGTTCCTTCGATCCGAAGGGTTCAATTCATCCCACCGCAACCGCACCAAATGCTGCAGAAATATATGTAGAGATAATCAAAATCAAAAGACAGGGTTGGACCAATCTATTGTCATAAAACTTCACATGGTCTTAGCAGACACCTGTGAAGCATGTCTACGGATATAAGACACAACAGGACTATCTGGCCAATCTTAACTAAAGGATAAAAGTAAAAGTAAACCATCACAAAGACAATGAAACTCAAAAATATATTTCTTATATATAAATATTTATTATTAATGAGTGTGATGAACAAAACTTCATGACAGAAAATATAAGAGTCTATGACTATAATAAAAAAAATTTAACTTACGAACCACATATAAAGCTAGAACATGACATATATTTGGGTGAATATGTGTGCACATATCTAGATATGTATATACATATATACACGTGATTGAGACAAACTTTTTCTCCTCTCGTGTCCTCTCCTTCTAGTAGAAACTTCCTGTTTTTTTTTTGTCAAATATGGTCAACTTTTTATGAATTTTACATAAACTTTAACTTCATTTTTCTTATAATTTTAAATCATACTAAATTTTCAAGTTGGCGAAAACTAACAAATGTATTTTTAGTTACAAACACATCTATGTCCTCCAGACATAACTTGAGATGTTAAAGAAGTATCTGTCTGACATGTGTTGAACACCAATTCCACTCGTGAAGATCATGAAGAACAATAGTAGCAGTTGATCCATACCCACTTCATACTCGTGTATGAAGTGATCGGCTAGCAGTCACTATACAAAGCGGACAGACCATGATGAGTGATTGTGCTGACAGTAAGCAACAGGCGCACTTTTAAAGCAAGTGCTCGAGGATCAAGTGAAAATACACATTATGTGTGGAACCAATAGGAAATTTTTATCCAAGGTAAATCAATGGTTAGAATCTGGACTGACCCGTAACATTGCACTTTCTCCAAGTGGTAATGATACTTGAGCTCTAGAAACGAATACATTCAACCCCCCACCCCACCGAGGAAAAACAAAAAAAAAATAAAGGGGCACTTCTAGATGAAATTTACGTCCATAACTCCTTTAACATTCCGCATGTGCAGTTTGCAGAGTATAATAAATTCAAAATATGAACAAAGCTACATATGGCAAGAACATATTAAAATAAAAAATAAAAAAACTTTAAAAAAAAAAAAAAAAAAAAAAAAAGGGATCCAGTAGATGTTTCTGCTCTGAACATATACATATACATAATTACATATACAAGTGGATTCTACGACCAGAGTTGATATTTAGGAAATGGCAACCGAACAGAATGCAGTATTCTCCCCCAAGGAAATAATCCTAACACCAAACCATCAGGGAATGAATATCAACACATGGTCTGCCGTCAACATCTATGTACTTAATAGATCAAACTACCAGACTAACAAGAAACGAAACCTCCTGCCACATAAGAATGAGTAAAGATGTATGGGCAAAGACCTGCAGCATTTTGAAAGCATGCAACCTAATTTCAGAAGACCAATCCTTCTTGACTAAAACAAACGATGTGTTGGCCAAGACACGAATATCCCCTGCTTTAATCTGCAAAATATTGGAAGGATAACATATCAGGCATTGAATATAATAAGATAAAATAAATTTACCTTATTCACCAACCAAAATAATAGTAAAATCAAGTATCTATAAATTTTTCACTGTTCATTCCTTGGAAGAAATTTATGTGAAAGAAAAACTGTACACGAGATAGCTATACATTTTATAGTTTTCAATAAAGGGTGGTTATAGATATGTGTGGGGAAATAACCTACAAAGAATATCAGGAAATGTGTGAACATTCAAAAAGATAATATCCAACCATGTGGAGAGTAATATTTTCTATAAATAAAATAATATGACTACATTCCAAAATGTCATGAGAATAAAAAATCTTATAAGTTGGCATGCTATAGAAAACAGAACAAACAATATCCGCAAAGATATTTTTAGGCTTCAAACTTTACCAAATAGAGGAACTTCCATAGTTTTTGGTAAGGGGGAAACTTCCATAGTACTAATATAGTAACGATAAATTTCAACGACAACCTAAAGATATTTTTGCTATGGATGTTGTTATTCCGGTAGAGGCTAAGGGGTGGTGCCCCGGGGGGAGGGGGGGGGGGAGAACAATGGATGACATTGGGGAGGTGAGTAAGTGTTTAGGATTGGCATATGAGGGGAATGAAGAAAAAACTATGGAGTTATTCCACTCTATTGACGATGAGTGGAAGGTGACTAGAAGAAAGAGGAATCACTCTTCGACAGGAGAGAGGGAACTCCGGAATTTAATTTCATATGTTTTTGTTTTTTGATAAGTAAGATATCATTAAAAATGCTCAAAAAAGGGGAGAGAGCCCAAAAGAATACAAAGGGCGTCCAAGGTTACGCTAAAATTTCAAGCTATCCACAAAATCCAAAAATCCCCCATAGATTTACAATTACTCCCATAAACCAAAAAAATTAAGGTAGATAGTATATTGAATTTGAGAGTCCAAATTGGAGATTCATCTCCCTCAAAAGATCTCCTATTTCTCTCGCACCACAAACCCCACCATAAACAAAGGGGAGTGACCCTCCAAGCTTGTCTGACTTGGCTCTCCACTGTACACCCTCTCCAAGTCTTTAACATTTCCACCATAAAACAGGGAGAAACCCAAACCATACCAAAAGCAACCAAGAACATAGACCAAATATCTCTCACAATGAAGGAGAAGGTGGTTGGTAGATTCTCCCGCCTTGTTACACATGTAACACCAATTCAGTGAATTCACCACTATACGTCTCCTTCTAAGATTGTCAAGGGTGAGGATGCTTCCAAGAGCGGCTATCCAAGCAAAAAAGGCCACCTTCAAGGGGGGCTTCGTCCTCGAAACAGCCTTCCAAGGGAAGGTAGAACGTGGGGTTTCCGACAAACTCTAGTAAAAAGATCTAACCTCAAACACCCTTCTTAGGGAGCCCACCCAAACCATCTCATTCATGCCCGTGCCCTCCACCAACTGACTATAGAGAACAACTAAAAACTGTGTGACACCCGTAAGCTCCCAATCATGAAACACTCTACGAAACTGCACATCCCAAGTCATCCTCCCATAATCAAGACGATAATAGTGAGCAACCAGGGCATGCTTACTTAGAGAGATCCTAAAGAGCCTTGGGAACCTACAAGCCAATGATAAATCCCCACACCAGCGATCCTCCCAAAATCTAATGTGTCTCCCATTCCGAATTCTAAATCAGATGCGTTTAGAAAACTCATCCCAACCTTTTGGGATAAGCTTCCACACACCCACACCCGCCGGATATCTCAACTCTCCAGACACCCATCCTCCCTCTCCCTCCCCAAATCGACAGGCAATTACCCTCCTCCATAACCGAGTCCCCCAAACGCATTTCAAAATATGGGACCACTTATGCAAAGCAATTACAGTTCCAATGATGCATATGGAAGCACGTATAAGGTAATCAAAATTTCTTAATGCTCCACTATTAGGAAATATAATAGCATCTAAATAATTTTTTTACTTCCACAAACCCTAAATCCCCCATCCCAGCCAAAAAACAAATAAATAAATAAAAAGAAAGAATACAAAAACCCAGCCACCCACAACCCCTCCCAAAAAGAAGAGATTATCAACATAAATTAACTATTTTGCTGCTTTTTACCACTTTTATTAACATTCAAAATTAATTGTCTCAATGATGAATCCAATCTACACTTAGAATTATAGGGCTAGTTTGTTTCAAAACATAAAATAAAAAATTTATAAAAAAAAAAAAAATGAGTTTTTAGAGAACTACAAAAGACAGTATCTAAAATCAGCCCCTCAACTCAGTTTCAGAAAAAATATAATTCAAAAAACTGACAACCAAATTAATTATCGAATTACTTTATGTTTTGGGATAATTCCAAAAAAATGGTGTTTTGGAGGTCAAATGACAAATAGATGGAATCAAATTCTAGTTTTCCAGATTAATGGAGTTTTCTCAAATGCTGACCTGGACATGGAATTTTACTGTAGATCATTTTTTCATTCCCAAACTGCCCATCTTATATTGTTAAATTGACCCAACTACCCCTTCAAGCTAACCGAGACCCAAAAGCCAGCGTTGGAACACACCCTAGTCTTTCTCTTCACGACCTCTATGCTCACAGCTGCCGATCACCACCGTAATCAGAAAATGCTTTTTGTCGGCCCATTCATTCTCACCGCCGGTTCATACCGAGTTCACCATGGCACCACAAGCTTCACCATTGTTGCCGGTGCCACACCTCTTCTTTGCCGGCATCATAGTTTCGAGATCAGATTTTTTTTTGCAGCTCTCATCATCCTTGCAGGCCGTTCCAAGCTCACTGCCCGTTCTTTCTAGCCATCCTTGCTCGTCATATGTGCATTGGAGTTGCTGGTTCGGTCACCAATCATTCCTTGCTTGCTACCCACTTGGTCACCGTCCTTTGTCTTCGCCGGAATCCTCTCTGTCCCGAAGTTCAGGCCCTTATATCATCATCGCCGGTGGGGTATTCCCTACTCACGACCGTTCCAATCTCTCTGTCGGCTATATTCCAGTCGTCGTCCGTTGTTTCGGTCATCGTGACCTGACAATCTGATCCTTGCTCACTGTTGCCCACGTCACCGCCGACCGGTAGGGAAATCACAGTCCATCACCAACCTGTTCCGTTAAAACCGTTCACCGCCATGGTGTCACTTCTCCGATGCCAATCCGCACTGCCGTTCAGTCCTGCCGAGAAGTTCCTCATCTCAGTCGTCCGTTGGTCACCAACTCCTTGAGGGTATGTTGCTGCACAGGATTTTGGGTCTCGGTTAGCTTGAAGGGGTAGTTGGGTCAATTCGCAACAATATAAGATGGGCAGTTTGGGAATGAAAAAATGATCTCCTGTAAAATTCCATGTCCAAGTTAGCATTTGAGAAAACTCCATTAATTTGGAAAAATAGAATTTGACTCCATCTATTTGTCCTTTGACCTCCAAAACACCATTTTTTTGGAATTTTCCCTTATGTTTTTCTGTTCTCTGATAAAACTGTTCTCCAAAAACATAATCAAACAGTACTAAAGTCATTGTTAATAGAACGGGATACTTTTCCTCCATGTGAGTTCAACACTTCATCCGAGTGCCTGTGGCCATATGCTGGCAGAGCATAAACTTATATTTTGTACATGCAGCATCAATCAGATGGCCCTTAATTTTTGCATCCCTGGAAACTGTCACCAAACGGTTTCTCGCTTTAAAAGCAATGGTAATAATAGGTTAATGTATTCAACCGGCTTTAGAATTCGTCCTACCGAAGAAACTCCGAAAAACACACTAGTTTTAATATCAGTAAATTTTGAATGAAACAAATAAAACATCAAACACATTATAACATATTATGGGGATTCCCAACTCAGTATAATCACACCTAAAAATAATCATTCTAACATTACCACTAATTGCTAGAGCTATTTGCAAACAAAGAGCATTAATACCACATATATCCTTGCTGAATTGAATTCAATGCCGTGTTTAGGTTGTTCTCTAAGCCCTAAAATCGAATACATTTTTCAAATGTCTAGAAGTTTATTTGAGCAAGAACCCTTTTATGCATATTTTTGATAAGTAAAGAGTGTAGTAGCTGAAGATGAGGCTAGTAGAGAAGGAAAGACTAATAAAGGGAAAGAGAGCTCACGGATTCTAGGTCATAAATTCAAGAAGTTCGACTAAAATGAAACAAATAAAACATCAACCACATTATAACATATTCTGAAGAATCCCCATTCACTATATTCACATATAAAAGCAATCATTCTAATAAAATCACTAATTGTTAGAGAAAGACTAAACATAAAACGCTCTATTTTGCAAACAATGAATTTGAATGCCATTAATAACCTTGCTCAATTGAATTCAATGCCTTATTTATGTTCTCTAAGCCCTAAAGTCTCATACATTTTTCAAATGTCTGGATGCGTGTTTGAGCAAGAACCCTTTTATGCATATTTTGAAAATTAATAGAAAGAGAGAGGGAGAGCTTACGGATTCTAAGTAAGAAACAGCTGCTTTTCGAGCATCGGCAGAAGAGCTCCAGTCTAGGGCAGCCATTATGGCACGCGCCACGTTGTTTGCAGTGCCACTCTCGTCCATCACTGTCCACACTTAGGGTTTTAACGAGGTTTGTCGATTGAGAGAAACAAGGAAGGAGAGAACCGTTGTATTATGTAGAAATTTACAAATATATGTGTACGCGCGTAGAGAGAGAGAAATGGGAGAGAGGAGTAGACAACAGTGTTGCTTTTTTCGGGGGGTTGCTTTTAAAATTTGAAGGATGAAGGGTCCTTTGATTTCGCGAGACTTCTTTCTGGGGGAAAATTCTCGTTCTCATCAACCGAACATATATAGTAGGAGTAATATGCAAGGGTGAGGAGATGGTAAATAAAAAGATTAATTGCACAAAAAGAAAAAAAAAAAAAAAATCAATTTTTATTATTTTGTAGATGTTTTTGTTGGTGATGCAATTAATGTGCAATGACGCCCCCTCATGTTTGGCATAAGGACAGGCATATATGTGAAAAGTTTATTTTACTCTTCATTATTTGATTAATTTTACCAGTAAGGTAGCAAAACAATTGGATGACCAGGTTATCCTTTTTCTCTCTATGTATATATAATAATAAAAAATATATAAAAAAACACACACACATATATGGTGAAATCTAGCCTTCCCTATTTCATGGGGATGATAAGCTTGTCCCCACATTTGAACAGACAAAAATACCCTTATTGGACACTGCCACCTTATAAAAATTATATCCATTAATGTAATTTCAATAATTAAGGAAACCCTAGTCTACCTCATCTCTTACACATTGCCTCTTACTTTATCTCATCTGACCTTCGTTATTAGATCCAATTTTTTCTACAAACCTAAAATCGTGCCTCCCATTCATCTGAGATTCCCATTCATCTGAGATTCACACTGCCATCGTCGAGAAGGTTTGTCGCCGTCTTGAAGCCATTGCCTCACATCGCCGTCGTTGTGAGGCCGCCGTTAAAAGACGTTAAAGAGTCCCGATCGGATCTCTTGTAGGTCACCGGAACTGTCCCTTCTGTCGCGTCGATCGATTCCTCTCTCTCTCTCTCTCTCTCACACACACACACACACATAGTTGTTTTGGGGTGATTTTTTTTATTTTCGGCGCATTTCGGGTTTCATTTGTGAGAATGAACAGTGGCGATGGTTGTGGTTGTGAGGGTTAGGATATTGGTAGTTATGGAGGTGGACGAGGCGACACTGGTTGTTATGGTGGCGGTGGGTGAATACACAATGGTGGTGGTTTTGGGTAAGGCTGCAAATGAACCAAGCTATTCATGAACAATTCGGGCTCAGCTTGCTAAGGGTTAATTCGTTAAGCAAATGAGCCGAGCTCAAGCCCAATTTCTAGGCTCGTTTACTAAACGAGCTGAGCGCGAACAATGTTGGGCTCGGCTCGCATAGGCTCATGAACATAGGCTCGTTAAGGCTCGTGAACAAGGCTCGTATTAGACTCGTTATATATATCAAGCTTTTTAACCAAGGCCCATTTGTTTTAATTGTACATTTAAAATGTTTAGTCCGTATTATTTTTAAGGTTGGCCCAACTCATATTTTTCATTAATATGGCCCCAAGAATTATAACTTACTAGCCCAAATAAGATCTCATCTCACCCATTAAATTAAAACCCATCTCATCCGTTGATTTTGTAAATGTTATAAACCCTGAAACTACACTTAAAAGGCAACCATTCATATATGCCTCTCCTCCACAACAAATCCCATCGTCACTCTCTCCCTCTCTCTCACTCATGAATCAACTCCACTGGTTTAGTCCACTGACGACAACCCTTCCATTTGCACAACTAACTTTCTCTCTAATCAACTCCATCGTCTAATCCACCGATAACCCCTCCACCAGCCACAACTCTCTCTCTCTCAGATCTGAAGGTGTTGCTATAGTGTAACAGATTTGTAGAGACGTTAAAATCTTGTAAGATCTGAATATTCCATGAAAAATTATTTTGTATTTCTTTTTCTTTTTTCTTATTAGAGATTGTTATGTGATCCTACGAAAGATAAGGTGGTGATTTCTTAAATTTGTATCTAATCGAGCCGAGCCCGAGTCAAGCCTGAGCTTGTTAAAACTCTACCGAGCCCAAGCTCGAGCAGCCCTCTATAGATGACGAATTGAGCCCGAGCAAGCCAAAGCTCAGCTCGGCTCGGTTCATCTGTAGCCCTAGTTTGGGGGATGGAGACGATGGTAGTGGTGGTTCATTCTCTAAAAGGTGTACATCGACAACTTTATTGGTGGCGACAATGACAATAGCAGTGAGGGGTTTAGGGGCAGAGAGGGCTAGGGATTTGGCGGTAGGCTTGAGGGAGAGGCCGTGGATTGACTAGCATAGCAGTGGTGGCTTATTTGGGAGAAGGGAAAGAGAATAAGAGAGTGAGGAAAAAGAACATTTCGGTTTCTCATATGGGTTGTATCAGGTAACCCATTTAAACCTCTTTGATCCAATGGTATTTAAGTCAATAAAAAATGGTTATATTGCTTAAATTGATAAGTTAATGTGTCAAAGGGTAATAAAGTCAATTCGCCATTATCAAGGTGTCTTTGTTAAGTTTATCAAACCTGGGGAGTTGTCATTGTACTTTACCCATATAATTATTAACCCAATTCGTAAATGTACAAGTATAATTTGTTTTTTTTATGATGAAAAAAATTACAAAAATTTGGCCAAATAAAACAAAATGTTAAAATATGAATACAAATATTTTGACCTAAAAACTCTCTAACTACGATTAGCTTGGTAGTTTTTATTATTATAAATTTAAATATAAAGTTATGATTTAGTAACTTCATGTTAAAAACTCAATCCCATAACCACAAAGTGTTTAGGACCTTTAAACCTTCATGCATATATTGATTTAGGGTTTAGGCTTACGAACTAAGGACTTTAATTTATAACCAATTAAATCCTTGAGACTAGTCTTGTTCTTTCCACTTTATAGTTTCACATCCAAGGTAAGTTCATACATCCAACTCACAGACCTTTCCTTAGTCTCTCATTTGTTTATAGACACCTACATGAGATGGCGCATCTGATGTGCACTAATTGTATCAATTATAAATACCACTTGCACTAGCACAAGTTCTTGTAGAAAATGGCTATGTAAGGATTATCGATTCACGGAGATTGCTAGCTTATGGCAATCAAGAGTATAAGACTACTTCCGAAAAATGATTGAAAATTGTTTGATTGAATGATTGTTTGTCACTTGCATAAACTGAAATTAATGTTTAAAAACATAATTTGAATTAAATGTAAAGAGATAGTATGAGTTGAGGCTAGGAGAATGACTTCACCACAACCCTTATAACCATGGCATATTACATTTAATATAAGGGGAAATCAATGAATTCAACCCTTTTCACCATTGTAATGCTAAGTGTAACCATGGTCACTTGGGCCATCCTTCATTAGAATTCATCGACGTTCAAGCCCGGAATGATCACGCTCTTTAAAAAGCCGTAATTCCTTGTTTTTATTCACTTTTGGGGGAAAGTCCTGAAAATAGTCAAAAAAACAAAAATGCTTATAAAGTACACATTATTAATACAAAAATGGACTAAAATATGCAGTTAAGGACACTTGAATATAAAATATTCGGCACTTATCACACCTCCAAACTTACATTTTGCTGGTCCCTTAGCAAAACAAAAAATGAAACAACTCTTCTTTCGTGGGAATAACGATTGCATTTAGCATATGCAACAAGCCTTTTAAACGCCTAGGCATCCCTAGAGGACGAGTGAAATCTCGTGAGAGTTTAACAGATATGCTACCCGCAAACATTGACAAAACTGGTGCATGAAGATGCACGAAGCTTATTTTTGAAAAACGTCTATCTAATCCTTCAGCTTCATTCAAGTGAGTTTCTTTTCTTATTTAATAGACATAAGGGGGTCTTTGTGTCGCCGATGACACTATTTCCTACTAGAAAGGTGCGGGTTAAAGCTCAACGTAGGGTTAGGACGTTTCTGGTGCCGGTTTCACTTCCTTTATGAAAAAAAATATCGATAGCAATAGCTGTTTTTCTAGTTTGTTGGTAGGCTAACTGGTGAAGTAGAATGGGCAGGAGGGAAGGAAGCGTACCAAGTGAAGGAACCACTCATCAGTCGAATTAGCCCACTAGGTTTGACCACGTACTATCATGAATTTGATTTCTTGAAACTGTTGCACGCCCTTGAGTTTAGTGAATGAATTAAAAAGAACGAAGAAGTAAGGAAATGAGATGACTCTTTCTGGAACTATATCGAAGACCCCACCTTTGTATGCACCAAGAAGACTATTCGTGCCCGTAGAGAGAATAGGCACGACTCCCACAAACATTGACAAAATTGGTGTGTGAAGATGTACGAAGCTTACTCTTAATCTTGGAACATAGGAAACATTAGAGAGAAAATTATCGTAAAGACTATATCAAATATGTGAAGTAATGACATCTCCAAATAATTTTCAACTTTCAGCAATCATGCATTGACATCATAGTCCACATACATAGCTTAAATATCTAATCTATAATATAATTAATCTCTACCTTCCTTTGAAAGTGAATCGGAATGGTTTTCTTTTTAAAATGCATTTCCTTCCCCTTCACTTTCAATATCATAGCATTTCAAATCATTGACTCATCTTTTGAAATAAGATGTCTTAGGCATGAATTTATTCGGTTTTTTTTTTTTTTTGGATGGCCGTGTAATATCTAAGTCCCTTAAGTTTTATAACTAACTCATGTAACAAGCATTAGGCCAACGACTCCCAAACTAAATGGTCTTAGGGCACTAAGTGTAAAAACACTCCAAATGATGTAACAACTCGGGTTAGCAAGACTACGAACTCAAACAAGCCATCAACACATGATACAATCTCCACTCATCTTCCTTTTGACGCGAACACTCAATGCTTAGTGATGCAAGAGGTCCAGTTACTCAATTAACAAGTTATAAGAATGTACACACTTTTTTGAAATATATATATATATATATATATATATATATATATATATATATATTATATTATATTTCATGCTTAAGATACTCATTCATCCAATTTGTCACTTCAAATCAGCTATTTCTATGATACAAAGAAGGGTAGGGTGTATAGTTTCCATTTAAATACTTTTGGTGTGATCATATGCAATGTAAAGTCTACTTAGAGAATGAAAACTCAAAGATGATACATCTAAGTCATGAAATGGACCTTCTTTATCTAAGCATGCTTATCAACAAATTTTTTTATCATTCTTTGACATCCAATGCATCCATACAAGATGTATTAATCACATACTTCTCTCTCCAACAAGTTC